CGGCATATTAGATAGTACCAGGGTACGTTCCGGTATACCGGACCGTACCCAGGGTACGTTCCGGCAGTACCCCGAGGGACATAGACCCTCTCAGCGTAACCCCTAACCCTAACCCTAACCCTAACCCTAATTGCCTAAACATACCTCATATAAAAATATAAACATAATGCTATTAATAGTAAATACTAAACCTAAAACTACCTCGGGTACATATATGTAGTACCTGATACGACAACGACCCTTCGTGCGTTACTATCTGTGTGATGTGAACACACACATGGGGCATGAACGTATCAACTATCAATATCATGTTTGTGCGTGCCTTTGCATGAAACTGTAGTGTATCTGTATCTAGCTGTATGTGAGTATCATTGTCTGGAGGGTAACTCACTACTCAGCAAAAATCTTTGAGGTACCTATAGTGTGTGCAAATTTTCCAATAATTCCTAATTGTTTCCCCATTGTGTGTTTCAGCATGTCTTCACAGATGGCAGATGTAGCCATCCATAATCTTGGGAAAAAAGACAGAAGTAGAATGAAGCGAAAGCGACCTAGAAGAAAGTCAAAAGAATTTCCTGCTGGTAGCACCTTAGACAAGCCAGCGTGTAGCTCATCAGTAGATGGACAGCGAAGGATCAAGAAGAAAAGAAAGAGACGGAAATTAAATCGAGTAACAGAAAATGGCGGTGGGAAATGTGATGAAAATGTACACAATTTGACTGCAAAATTGAAAAGTGTTTTCACGAAAACCAGCGAGTTGAAACAAAATCGGAAGCAAATCGCCAGATCTAAACGAGAAACAGTTAAGTCAGCTGTAACGCAAGAGGAATGTCAGACTGGTGACATTTTGAACGTCAGTAATTCTACCTACATTGCTCTCGATTGTGAAATGGTTGGAGTTGGTCTGAGAAAACATGAAGCATTAGGTAAATATACTATTTTATTCCACTCTATTCCCCCTTTCTCTATCTCTTTTGCTGTCTATCTATCATTTTGCTGTCTCTTAAGACTTTATCTCTCTCATCCTACCTCCCTCCTTCCCTGTCTCTTGCTCTCTCTCTCTCTCTCTCTCTCTCTCTCTCTCTCTCTCTCTCTCTCTCTCTCTCTCT